TCGAACTTAAATCCCCGTCGTTGCATCTGGGGGAATGACTATGGGCGGTTTTGTTTGATGCACCTTCTGAAAAGACCCCTTATCCCTAATGTTTTGGGCCACTGAACTCAGGTCCGCTCTAAAAGGATTAGGGGTGATTTCGTTGCTGATCAAGAGGGCTCGTATTGTTGACTGCAACCACCAGTCATTCAGGACTCGGTCGCGAACAGAAAGAACTTCGTGAGCTCCTGGTGCAGCGAGTGTTTCGCGCTTCTGCTGGAGCGCTCCTCGGCCAAGGGCCTACACTCCACGGCGTGCATACAATTAAGTTGCGTCAGCGCTCTGGAAAACGTAAGACTCGGATTCGCTCGAACTCTGGTTTGCCGACGTTTCACGAGCCTGTATGGATTTCGACGGTCCAGTTTTCGTGGGACTTTTGCAGTGGGAGCTCGCGTCAACTTTCAGACTGGGTCTCGTCATGTTCTTGATGGCCTCGCCAGGCCAACCCGAATCCCCCGAAAACGAGTCTTACATCTCCGAGATGAGCTTACTGGAGTTGGCTACGTACACGTAAAAGCGACCCTGCGCCAGAGTGACCGTTTGCGCGGGCCCGCAGGGGCCCCCCAAACGCCAGCTTTCGCGCCTGGGTTTGGCCCCCCCGCGGCCAAATAAAGCCGCGCACCAAAGGACTTTCCGTACTTGTTGCCGGTATTTCCATGTATATCTTTGCAGCAGGTCCCATTATTACCCGCGAGGGAGCTCCCGAATCGCCCCTGCATTCCTCACTGGCAATTTGCGATGCGAGTTCCTCAGGCACGGCTAGAACCTAAGCGCGCGCGAAGCTCGCGCGTGGTTCTGGTACATATGTATGGACGAAACATGCGTTATGGTATATGAATGCATGTGTACATTTGTGTGCATGGTTACACACGTATACGAATACTACACCTGAGAAATCCCAATCAGTGGACGATTCGGAAATTAATACGATGGATCTTGAGATCGATTTGAGATCGATAAGGAGATCGATACGGTAGGTTCGTGTCGTGTCGACCGGCGGCGACCCCAGCGTGGGCGTTCAAGGTTGAACGCCGCCGGCGACCCAGAATCGATCGATGTTGAACGATTGGACGTTGCGGAGACGGCCGATCGTTCAAGGTTGAACGATCCCTGCGGTGTCAAAAACCAACGCTGGGGTCGGCACGACACGAACCCGCCGTAGTGGAATCGATAGTGGGGATGATTGTAAGGTTGATCGTGAGACCGAGAGTAAATCGATTCAATGAGATCGATGGTGAGATCGATCGCGAGATCGCTCATGCGATCTCTCATGAGATCGCTTGTGAAATCGATAGTGAGATCGATTGTGAGATCGATGGTGAGATCGATAGAGATGTGGGTCGTGAGATCGATGGTGAGCCCGCTCGATAAGAAGATCGACCAGGAGCCAGGGAACTTCGCCGCCCTCCGAAAGCGGCCCAGAACCCGGAACCGGGAACCCCGGAACCGGGAACCCAGGAACCCGGGAACCCGGGAACCCAGCGTGCGACCAAAATCGGCGGGGCATTTTTGTCAAATTTTTCAACATCTGCGAGGACCCTTTCAGTACAAGCATTGATTCGGGAACATGCGTATACATGTGTGCATGTGTACATATGTCTGCATACATGCATCTACCTGTAGAGAGGGAGAGAAACAAAAAGACAGAAAGAGAGAGAGAGAGAGAACGAGAGGCCGCAACAGGACTTAGGATCACCGTCCTCGTCATCATACTCGCCGTTGCTATCGTGCTGGCCTCCGGCCAGTGCCTCCGATCCGGGGCGCTCCGGATGATGATGATGAGGAGGAGGAGGATCATGATGATGATGATGCTGATGATGATAATGATGATGGTGATGATGAGGAGGATCATGATGATGATGATGGTGAAAATGATGATGCTGATGATGATGCTGATGATGATGATGATGATGATGATGATGATGATGATGATGGTGATGGTGATGGTGGTGATGATGATGATGATGATGATGATGATGATGATGATGATGATGATGATGGCGATGGTGACGTTCATGATCATGCTGATGAATCTAATGATGATGTTTACCAGGGTCATGGCCATGGTGAAGAGCATGAAGATGGTGATGACCAGGGGGAAGCGGTCGAGTCGAGAGGTCCGGTGGCCCACATTCCGAGTTCGAATCGCTGGGTGCCAGGAGTCTTCCATGCCATGTTTCCTGATCCACCCATCGTCTTTTCTCTCCTAAACTTGTCGATTGTTCCTACGGCGGGCCTCCTTCACGCATTCGAGGCTCAATTGCCGCCCGCAGGGTGGTCACTGGTCCGTGTGAGCCTGCACTGTGTTACCATCGTAATTGTCGCTGCCGCTGCGGCTGTTGCCGTCGACGAGAGGTGCGGACGGGGGGACGACCGGGAGCGTGAAAAAAAACCTGCCCACATACACACACATTGAACAGTCAAGAAAATTCGATGTTTGCTTCTCGGAGCTTTTTGAGGAGGTCGTGGGGCTCTCGGGGACTCGTAAATTTCTCGGGCAGTACTCAGGCCATCTTGGGCGTCTCGGACCGATATTTCAGTGATTCGGGGTTGTTGTGGGTCGTTCTGCGGGCCTCTTCGGGCCTTGTTGTCCCGTCTTGGGCCCTCCTCGGCCTGGGCAAAGTTATGCCAGAGTATTTCGGGGGCCCCAGAGGGTGCGCGGAGAGGCCAAAGAGATTTGAAAGTTTGGGGTCCGAGTCCACGAAGGATCCACTGGCTCGAGGACTGAGACTCAGGGGATTGAGCAAAGGACCTCGGGAAGCGTCTTGGGGCTCGTTTTGGGACTTCTTGGGCCTTGTTTCGGGCCTCTCGAGGGCGTTCTGGATTCTCTTGCGGTCTTTTTGGGGGCCTGTTGGGGCTTCCCGAGGGCGTCTTGGAGCCTCTGCGCTGCGCTGCACGGCGGCGAGAATGGCGCCCCCCCCTTCCCTTCCGCAGAACGACCCACGGAGTGGCGTTGGGAATGGCGAGCCCCCTCCCCTCCCCTGCAGGGAAAACGCCCTTCCCGCTGCCGAGCACTGAATGGCGTCGGGAACGGCGCCCCCCCCACCCCCCCTCGCCCCGCCCCCTGCTGAGCGCTCAAGTCCACGGTTCCCGAGCATTGAATGGCGTCGGGTAGGCCGCCCCCTCGCCCCCTTGCAGAGCGAACCCCCTCGGGCTCCCGAGCACTGAATGGCGTCGGCGGAGCACTGAATGGCGTCGGGAATGGCGTGCCCCCCCCCCCCTGTCCACGGGCCCCGAGCGAACGCACCACCCGGCACCCGCGCACTGAATGGCGTCGGAAATGGCGCCCCGCCCCTCCCATGCATGCAGACCGACCCCCCCCCCAGCCCCCCGGGGCATTGACTGGCGTCGGAAATGGCGCCCCCCCCCCTCCCTTCCTTGTCCACTGCTCCCGAGCAGCGAACCCCCCAACCTGGGTCCCGAGCATTGAATAGCGTCGAACATGGCGCCCCCCCCCTTCTCCCCCCATGTCCACGGCAAACGAGCAGCGACCCCCCCCCCACAAGTACCGAGCACTGAATGGCGTCGGAATTGGCGCCCCCCCCGCTGTCCATGGTTCCCGAGCAGCGACCCCCCCCATTTCCCGAGCGTTGAATGGCGTGGGAAATGGCGCCCCCCCCCCTGTCCACGGCTCCCGAGCGGCGAACCCCCCGGGTCCCGAGCATTGGCGTCGGGAATGGCGTCCCCTCCCCCCTCCTTTCCACGGCTCCCGAGCACCGAACTTTTCCCCCAGGTCCCGAGCATTGATTGGCGTCGGGAATGACGCCCCGCCTCCCGAGCAGCGAACCCCCCCCGAGTCCCGAGCACTGAATGGCGTCGGGAATGGCGTCCCCCCCCCCTTCCCCCCTGGCCACGGTTCCCGAGCAGCGAACCCATCCCGGGTCCCGAGCAGTGAATGGCGTCGGAAATGGTGTCCCCCCCCGTCCCCCCTGTCCACGGCTCCCGAGCTGCGAACCCCCCCTGGGTCCCGAGCACTGAATGGCGTCGGAAATGGCGCCCCCTCCCCGTCCACGGCTCCCGAGCACCGATCCCCCCCTGGGTCCCGATCACTGAATGGCGTCGGGAATGGCGTCCCACCTCCCCTCCCCTGTCCACGGCTCCCGAGCAGTGAACCCCCCCACCCGGGTCTCGAGCACTGAATGGCGTCAGAAATGCTGTCCCCCCTTCCCCCCGTTGTCCACGGTTCCCGAGCAGCGAATCCCTCCCCCGGGTCCGGAGCACTGAATGGCGTCGGGAATGGCGTCCCCCCTTCTCTTGTCACGTCTCCACGGATCCTGAGAAGGTAAACTCCCTCCGGGTCCCGAGCACCGAGTGGCGTCGGTAATGGTGTCCCCTTTTCCCATGTCCACGGCTCCCGAGCAGCGAACCCCCCCAACCGGGTCCCGAGCACTGAATGGCGTCAGAAATGGCGTGCCCCCTCCCCCCCGTTGTCCACGGCTCCCGAGCAGCGAATCCCTCCCCCGGGTCCCGAGCACTGAATGGCGTCGGGAATGGCGCCCCCCCCCTCCCCCTGTCCACGGTTCCCGAGCATCGAACTTCCCACCGAGTCCCCAACATTGGGTGGCGTCGGAAATGGCGTCCGCGAAGCTTGAGCGAGCTCAAGTCCACGCTCTCGGAAACTCACACGCAGGATCTGCGGATTTGAATCACCATCACCACCATCATCATTCTTCTACGCTCTACGCATCCCACTACCATCCATACCCTGCCTTTTCATCCTCCTCCCTGACCCCCTCCCCTTTCCTCTCCCCTTTCCCCCCTCGTGATCCTCCTTTGCATCTTCCCCCGCTCCTCCCTCCACCTCCCCCAGGGTTCCTCCTCTTCCTCCTCCTTTCTTTTTCCTCCTCGTCCTCCTCTTTCCACTCCTCTACCCGATCCTACTCCTCGTCCCCCCCCCTCTCTCCCCCGCAGCCGTCGATGGGGGCACCTAAACTCAGTCCAAAACCCCGCTCCACGACGAGGCGCTGGAGGGCGAGACGCGGGCGCACGAGGGCGCGCGGGAGAAGCTCGCAGCGCGGCTGGAGGACGGCGTCGTCGCCGCCGTCTTCCCGTCGGAGGGAGGAGAAGCGACGGCACCATTCGGCGGCCAGCCCAGGGGGGAATGAGAGGGGGCGGGGCTCCTCAGAAGGCCCGGGCGCCCCCCGGCCTTCTGAGAAGTTTCCTAAGCCTTTCCCAAAGACACTTTTGACCTAACAGCTCTTGCTGATAGGTTTCTAGTGGTCTCAAAAAAGAGCATCATGACTCCTCAGGGGGGTCTGGGCGGGACCCGGACGGGCTGCCGCCGCGGCTGCCGCCGTAGTCGTTTTTCGCAAACAGTCACACACTTCGTGCTCTTCGACCTCCCAGAACTCCATTCCCGGGCCACATTTTGGATGCCCGGAGCCAACTGTAGGCCACTTCGTGCTCTTCAAGTTCCCAAAACTCCATTCCCAGGCCACATTTTGGATGCCCGGAGCCAACCGTAGGCCACTTCGTGCTCTTCGACTTCCCAGAACTCCATTCCCGGGCCACATTTTGAATGCCCGGAGCCAACCGTAGGCCACTTCGTGCTTTTCAAGTTCCCAGAACTCCACTCCCGGGCCACATTTTGAATGCTGAGGCAGGCTGATGCTGCAGGCTGAGGCTGAGGCAGGCTGAGGCTGAGGCAGGCTGAGGCTGAGGCCGAGGCTGAAGGCAGACTGAGGCTGAGGCTGAAGCAGCTGAGGCTGAGGCTGAGGCTGAGGCTGAGGCTGAGGCAGGCTGAGGCTGAGGCTGAGGCTGATGCAGGCTGAGGCTGAGGCAGGCTGAGGCTGAGGCCGAGGCTGAAGGCAGACTGAGGCTGAGGCTGAAGCAGGCTGAGGCTGAGGCTGAGGCAGGCTGAGGCTGAGGCAGGCTGAGGCTGAGGCAGGCTGAGGCTGTGACTGCGACTGCCGTTGCCGCTGCGACTGTCATCGCGAATGCGACTACGACTGCGAGAACAGCAGAATTCTACAACTCGATTTTCATTTGAATCTTAAGGAAAATGCTTCCAGATATGCTTGTACACATCGCTGTTAGGTTGCTTTGCCGGGATAATTTTGATCCGCGGGTCGAGAGCGAGCCTCTTCCGGTCGAAGCTAAGCGGGCCGCGCACAGCTTTACTTGACTGACAGAGGGAGGAAGGCAAAAGGAGGGGCCTCACGTCAAGGCCAAAAGAGGGCAAAATCAGGCGGTGCCGAAGGCGAAGTGCATGCAAAGGAACGCTTTGTACAGGAACCCGGAGGCGAAGTACCGGAAGAGCAAAATGCTGTTTTTTCCCCCCGAAGACAAACAACTCCTAAGAAGGCGCAAGGGCTTCAGAGAAACCCCGGCGCTGTGGGCTTTCTTCTTCTCAAGTCCCCCCCGCTCGCCGCCGAGAAAGGGGACGGCACCACCTCCAGCCAGGATCAGGGGCAACGTTAGGGGGGACAGGATCAGGGCGAGATGCATCGAACCCCCAATCACCCATTCATCGCCGATAGCGGCGCGACAGCCCCACCCTGCCCGGGAACGCGCGGTTTCGCCATCGCGGGCCGATCGCTGATCCATACTGGCGATTCCAAGTAAATGCTTCCGCCCCAGAGCCGCCCCCCTACGAGACCCAGGAATGCTCGTGTGGTTTTTTTAACGCACGAAAAGCAAAAACGCAACGGAAGTTTTGACAGCTTCCGGTCTTTGGGATGCTTCAACAGGCGCAGGGGCCGTCAGGAAACGGCTCTGGATGAACAGCCAGCCATGGGGAACGGAGCGGGGCTTCAGGGATCTCACTGGGCCCTGGGAACCGCAAGGCTATTGTCATCGACTTCCGTCGTCGTCCGACGTCCTTGTCGTCGTCGTCGTCGTTGTCGTCGTCGTCGTTGTCGTCGTCGTTGTCGTCGCATCCCCCCCCTGACTTTGAGGAGTGCCTGCAGCAGGAGGCGCAGGGGCGCCAGGGCGAGGCCCGGCGCACAGCTGAGGCGGCGGCGGAAGCCCTCGAAACCGCGGCGGCGGCGGGCTCTCGCGCCGCTCTGCTCGAGCGGCGCTTGGAGGAGATGGCGGCGACGACGACGACGACGACGGCGGCGGTGACGACGACGACGACGACGATGACGTCGGCGGCAGCGGCGGCGGACGGACGGCGACGACGCCGGCGGCGCGCGACGACGCGACGCGACGCGACGACGACGCCCGTGGCGACGATCAAGACGGCGGCGGCGGCGGAAGCCCTCGAAACCGCGGCGGCGGCGGGCTCTCGCGCCGCTCTGCTCGAGCGGCGCTTGGAGGAGATGGCGGCGACGACGACGACGACGACGGCGGCGGTGACGACGACGACGACGACGATGACGTCGGCGGCAGCGGCGGCGGCGGCGGCGACGACGACGACGACGACGACGACGACGACGACGGCGACGACGCCGGCGGCGGCGGCGGCGGCGACGACGACGCTGGCAGCGGCGGCGGCGGCGGCGGCGACGACGACGACGACGCCCGTGGCGACGATCGACGGCGGCGGCGGCGGTCGACAACGACGGCGGCGGCGGCGGACGACGACGGTGACGACGGCGGACGACGGCGACGACGACGACAATGACGGCGGCGACGGCTCGACGACGTCGAACGTACGACGACGACGACGGCGGCGCGCGACGAACGACGACGACGACGACACGAACGGCGGGCGGCGGCGGCGGCGACGACGCCGGCGGCGACGGCGACGACGACGACGACGACAATGACGGCGGCGGCGGCGGCGACGGCAACGTCGACGACGACGGCGATGGCGACGGCGACGACGACGACGATGCCGGCGACGGCGGCTGCGGCGACGACGACGACGACGACGGCGATGCGGCGGCGGCGGCGACGACGACGGACGACGACGCCGGCGCGGCGGCGGCGTCGACGACGACGACGACGACGGCGGGGCGGCGGCGGCGGCGGCGACGACGACGGCGGCGACGGCGAACGACGACGACGACATAACGGCGGTGGCGGCGGCGACGGCATTATCAGACGACGACGGCGATGGCGACGGCGCGACGACGACGACGACGACGCCGCCGGCGGGCGGCGCGACGACGACGACGACCGCCGCGGCGGCGGCGACGACGACCGACGACGACGACGGCGGCTGCGGCCGCGGCGGCGGCGACGACGACGACGACGACGGCGGCGGCGCGGGACGACGACGACGGCGGCGACGGTGGCGACGACGACGACAATGACGGCGTGCGCGACGGCGCAACGTCGACGACGGCGATGGCGACGGCGACGACGACAACGACGACGACGCCGGCGGCGGCGGCGGCGGCGGCGGCGACGACGACGACGACGACGCTGGCGGCGGAGACGGCGACGCCGACGGCGATGGCGACGGCGACGACGACGACGACGACGCCAGCGGCATCGGCGGCGACGGCGACGGCGACGACGACGACGACAATGACGGCGGCGGCGGCGGCGACGACGACGGCGACGACGGCGGCGGCGACGACGACGGCGACGGCGACAGCGACGACGACGGCGACGACGACGATTACGACGACGGCGGCGGCGGCGTCGTCGGCGGCGGCGGCGCGGCGACGGCGACGGCGATGGCGATGGCGACGACGACGGCGACAACGGCGGCGGCGACGACGACGACGGCGACGACGACGACAACGACGACGACGACGACGACGACGACGGTGGCGGCGGCGGCGACGACGACGGCGGGGACGACGACGACGACGACGAATGCTACGACGACGACGACGACGACGACGGCGACGACGATGGCCACGACCGCGACGGCGACGGAAACGGCGTCGTCGACAACAACGACGACGACGGCGGCAGCGGCGGTGGTGGCTACGGCGACGGCGACGGCGACGACGACGACGAAAACGACGACGACGAACATGACGACGACGACAACGACGCCAGCGGTTTTTTTCGGCGGCGTCGTCGGCGGCGGCAACAGCGACGGCGACGGCGACGGCGATGGCGACGACGACAACGACGACGACGACGATGACGACGACGACGACGACGGCGTCGGAGCGGGGCGACGGCGACGGCGACGGCGAGGGTGACGACGCCGGCGCAGGCGGCCGCCGCGTCCAGCGGCGGCGGCGGCGGCGACGGCGACGGCCATGGCGATGGCGATGACGACGGCGGCGGCGGCGGCGTCGGCAACGGCGACGGCGATGGCGACGACGACGACGACGACGACGACGGCGGCGGCGGCGGCGACGACGACGGCGACGGCGACGACGACGGCGGCGACGACGACGACGACGACGACGCCGGCGGCGGCGGCGTTGGCGTCGGCGGCGGTGGCGACGGCGGCGGCGACGGCGATGGCGACGGCGATGGCGACGACGACAACGACGACGACGACGGTGGCGGCGGCGGCGATGGCGACGGCGACAACGACGACGATGACGACGACGACGGCGCCGGCGACGACGGCGTTGGCGTCGTCGACGACGACGACGCCGGTGGCGGCGGCGGCGGCGGCGGCGGTGGCGGCGGCGGCTGCGGCGATGTCGACGGCGACGGCGACGGCGACGGCGACGACGATGGCTGCGTCGGCGACGGCGGCGACGGCGACGGCGACGGCGACGACGACGACAACAACGACAACGACGACGCCGGCGGCGGCGGCGGAGACGACGGCAGCGACGACGACGACGATGACGGAGACGACGGCGATGGCGACGGTGGACGACGGTCACAATGACGACGACGACGACGACGACGACGACGGCGACGGACACGACGATCACGATGGGGCCGATGGGGCCGAAGCAGACGATTGAGACGACGGAGACGACGGAGACGACGACGGAGACTGCGGCAGCGGCGGTGCTGGCGACGCCGCCGCCGATGCCGCCGCCGCCGCTGACGACGACGAACTTGCCGGCGGTGTTGACGTTGACGACGTTTCGACGACGGCGACCGTGGGCGATAGGGGTTCGAGGTTTGAGTTGTTAGGGCGTTTTCGGCGGCCCTCGGCGGACTTCCAGCTTCGGGGTGCGTGCTCAGTCCAAGCGTGAGCGCTCAGTCTGCTTCTCGCAGTCCGCATCCACTACTCGGTCCCACTTCGGAACGAGCTGCTCGGTGAGCACTGGGCCCCCGTGACGGCAGCGACCCACGCCTCCAACCAAACGCGAATTGTGCCGTGTTTCCGCAAAACTCCGCCCGCGGCTCACACGTCAGAGCATGATGTCCTCGGTCGGCCATGCCGCAATTGCACCTTTGCCCTCATTTCGACGACTGGTGCCCCAAGTGCTGGCGGGCGGGTGCCCCGGGCTCCCAGCTGCAACAGCCTCAGGCGCAAGGCCACTAGGAAACGCTCGTCTTGCATTGGGTGGCTCTACTCGGTGAGCGGAAGCAGAAAGGCATCGCCCTTGTCGCCCGCTGGCAGGAGATTGGCGCGACTTGGGCCTTCGACGTCTTGCAGCAAAGTCTTATGGCACTTCGCGTTGACGCGTTTCGTCTACCTTCTCTGCTGCTGCAGGCGGCCGGAAACGAAACACGCCGCCCAATCGGTCTGATAGTTGTCGTATCCAAGACGGCGGAGCTCGTCCCCTGCGACCGTCATGGCAGCGCCCGTGCGCCCGGGCGAGGACAGCGTCAGCCGAGTGCGACCCCCGTCACGGCGACCTCTGAGAGGCATTGTTGCCAGGAGGCGATGTACGCAGCATTTCAAGTCAAGCGAGCGCGAGCACGCCTCCGTCCCAGCATGACAGCCACAGCTACTGCCTCTTGTGCGGGCTGAGCTGGGCGCCCAGAAGGTGTTCGAGGAAGGAAAAGATTCAGCGGCCGTACTCCGCGCGCCAGGCTTCGTCCAAAAAAACAACATACGAGCAGGTGGTTGTTGGCCCCGCCCACAACGTGAATACGATTTGAACGATCAGCCTTTTGGCCTCCCAAGGAAATTGTCCAACGCCTGAAGAACCGACTGTCTGGCGCTAGGGAAGCCCCGAGGCGATGTTGATCATCCTCGTCGAGAGTGGCTCTGCAGAAACGCATTGCATTACCGAGACATCGAAACATCGCTCGCACTCTGGATAGCGGCCTGCGCTGGCACTGGACCAGCGGGGTCTGGCGCTCCAGACCGATGCCCTGCAGCGCCTCCCCCGTTCCCAGGACGGCCTCCGCCCCCTCCTCTTCCACTTCCTTCCTCCTCCCCCCGTCCCTCCTCCCTCCTCCCCCCTCCCATCCTTCCTCCCTCCTCCCCCCCTCCTTCCACCTCCTCTGCATCCGCCCTCCTTGCCCCCCCCCCCCCCCCCCCCTTCCCGCCCACGGCAGGAGGAGGCGGCCGCCCGCGAGCGGGCGGTGGGGCGGCTGGCGGCCGACACGGAGGCGGCGACGGGTGGCGGCGCCTCGCGGCCGGGCCGCCGCCAGCGGCCGGCGGTGGCGGCGGCGGCGGCGTCGTCGTCGTCGTCGGCGTCGGCGTCGGCGTCGTCGTCGTCATCGCCGCCTCGATTGGCGTCGACCAGCTAGGGCCACCACGAGGGTGCGAAGTCAGTGGCGGTTCGCGGTCTGAGCGATTTTAGAGCGAGACGCGAGTCCCTCATCCTGCTCCTGGGGGGGAGGGGGGCGTCGCGAAAGCACGAAGACAATCGCGCTTCGCAGAGCGCGGAGCGCAACGATCGTTGCCCTAGATCAGCGTCTATCTAGCTTCGATTAACGCCGATGCGGCCCCCAGGAGGTGCCACAGTAGGAATCACCCGAAGGAGCATGATTGTTGATTCGCGTCCAATCGTGGTTCCCCCCTGATTGAGGCGGGAACGGCGACGGCGTCGTCGTCGTCGAGTGAAGGTTTTCGGGAGGTTTGTTTGGCCGCTTTGCGGCTTCCCCAGTTTTCTAGGTGGTGACCAGGTGGTGCGGGATTCCTGCAGAGGACTGGGGGTATCCTGAGGACTCTTGTAAGATCCTGCGGGGCTCCTAAAAGGGCTTCAAGGGAGGAGCGGGAGGAGGAGGATGAGGGATCTGAGACCACTTGCGAACCCTACCCCTTCGGGTCCAATCCCCGCCGTAGGATCGGATCCCCCCGCTGGGGTTCACTTGACTGCATCTTTCAAGTTCTGAACTGGTTGCCCAGGGGAGGAGGGGACAGGAGGGGGGAGGAGGAAGGTTGGTTGTTTGGTTGGCCGGTTGTGGTGGATGAGGAGGGGCCATGCGGGGGGATGAGGGGAGAGTCCCTTACACCGTACTCCTTCGAATTCGCCAATACCTGCCGTGCTTCCAAGCTGCCCCCCCTCCGTTTCCTAGGGCCCTCCACCGTCCGATCCATCGATTCGTCATCGATTATGATCAGCTGGTTCCGAGTCAATTCCAATACCTATCCAGCAATTCGACGCGGCCCGATATTTGCATGGTGTTGTCGTGCATGTTGGCGCGGCCGATCCAATCCGATTCTGTGCTGGTGCGGCCCGATCCGACGCACGTCCTGATGTGTTCTGATGTTTTCAGGTTCGATACTGACTGATCCTGCCTACAGCGTAACCGCATCACAAGGATGAGTACCCTTCCAAGGGTACACCCGTGCATGCTTGTCAATATGTCCATTCTAGTTTTCGCCATACGCCGTCGACTTCCAACCTCGGCTTTATTTTGAGCGTCCAAGGGCCTCGCGTACTTACTGCGCATGAGTAGGGTGAAGAGGAGAAGGAGAACGAGGGGGGGGTGCAGGTGGAGGCTTGGGAGGTCCGTAGCCATTTTGGCTCAAAGAGCTTGCTTCTGAACGACCCAAACTCGCTCAAGTGCGTACGACACGCGTGCAACTTTTCTGCACACCGTTTCTCGAGCTCCACGGCGGATGTCCCGCGCGTCAAGCCATGCGGGGGCTGGCGTGCACGAGTCGTGGGTGCAAGCGGAACCCTGTTCACTTCAGTTGGTGCTTCCATTGCAAAGCCCGCCCCCCCAAGCTCGATCACAAGCCTCCCAATGATCCTCGTGAAGTAGGGGGTGGCGAGGAAGGGGCTGACGGAGGTGGAGGCAGCGGAAATGGAGGGCGAGGTGGACGTGGGTGGAGAGGAGGTGCTCGTGACTCCCCCCCCAGCGCTGGGATAAGGAGCAGCTCATAACAAGCTGCACAAGTTATACCAGGCGTGCCAAAGCAAGTCGAGTCCGTTCCACCCCGAGGCTGCGGAGGCTATTTCACGAGCTTGGGACACCCGCAAACAGATAAACGTACAATGGTACCCCCACCCAGTAAGAAGTTTCAGAAACATGAACAGGATGTCAGACGTCGTACACAGAAGCTTGGAAACATGAAACAACACAGGCAAGGGGGCCTTCGTCGCATTGCAGGGTTGCAGGATGAGCTGGACAACCTGGATGATGCCATCAATAAGGAACAGAGCGATTACGAGGAGGCCGGGACGGCAGCGGCCTTGGCTGTCAACAGCGGGGGCGCGGTGCCAGAAGACACCCTCACCGCCATGCGCGGCCTCTTGCAGCTCGTCGCCACCCTGGTCCCTCCGCTCCAGGATGAGCAGGCACGTGCACGGATCCAGGCTCAGTTCACCCAGGTTGGGCAACTCCTTCAGCTTCCCCAGCGCGGGGGAGTACGAGGGGGAGCGCGAGAAGCAGGACACAATGGTTGTGGATGAAGAGAAGCTTTTGGAGTGGGTTCGCGAATGGGGCATCTCGGACGGAGGCAAGCGGGGTTTGTCTCATCGATTCGTTTCGCAGCAGCCATGCCAAGAAAGCCCGTGACAATACCCCAGGGTCAGGAGTTGGAACAGCAGAATCTGCAGCGGGAGCATCTCGTGAAGGGGAGGCCAGTACCACCACCCAAGAGGAATTCTCTGGGAGTGCGGAGACTCGCGTCCCAGCTCCCAGACGGAGCAGCCGTTTGAGGGGTAACACGGTAGGGCGAACGACAAGAGCTAAAACAATAGGATGACAGAGATCGCGCGTGGCCATGGAGGCAGGCGCGCAAGCGTTCAGCAAGCACCGCCGCCACCCTGGGGTTGGACCTGTCCTGCTTCGCCGTTTTGCTGTGATTCAGCATCGAATGAAGAATCTTGGATCCATGGGCGGACCAGGGCGCCTCAAGGCTCGGGTCTTCTTCCCCGGCATGCAAGACACGGCCACCTATTGCGGAGAGGTCCTGGTGCATTCGCCTCAGGAAGTTCGGTATCTCAGGCGAGCCGGGGCGAAGTCTCTCGGCATTTTTCCTCCCGATCAGGACCTTCAGTTCTGGCCGCGTTCACTCTTAAGAGATATTGTAAGGAAAGGTGGCAAGCGACGGATAAGGGTTTGCTCCAGGGGGAATGGGTTGACGGCGCGTGGACTCACCCAAGCTGTTAGGACAACCCAGGACAATTCCCGTGCTCCTCCAGCTTCGTCAGCCTGGCTCGCGAAGTCCAGCGGGCCCCTGGCGGACATGCACCTATGAATTAAGGAGGCGGGCTGGGAACGCGCCAACCCAGCTATACTCGTGAGCGCTGACGGCACCCACCATCACCTCTCTTCCACTCCGCCCCATGTCATAGGCCGTGTTTCAACTGGGATTCAGTGCACCAGCACATTGAAGTGATTCTGTTCTTCATAGCAGGGCTCAGGGGATTCGAAGTAGAGGCCTTTCGGCCCTTGGGCCGCGCAGGCTGCTCGCTAGCCAGAAATTCCCCATGGACTTTAAGCGTCTCCTGGTGCAAGTCTTCGCTGGCAAGTACGCCGCAGGTGTCACCCTCAGCAGATGGAGATACAGCGCGGACGGCTTATGTCCTCGACGTGGCCAGCTGGATACGATTTTCCCCAGGGCATGGGAGTGCCCATGATGTGAAGCAGACCGTGATGGTCAGAACGAGGAGATTCGAGCCATGGCCTTCCACCATGGGCCAAGTGATCCCCTCTTCTCCTCGCTCTGGACGCCCCCCACTCTCGTCGCCACGAGGCCGTTGGAGGAGCCGGAGGTCCATTATTTCAACAAGGATTGCCCCATCTTATTGTTTGGGTTTTGTTCCGTCAGGGACAATTTTACAGTGACTGGAGTTGTTTTGACGGTTCGGTCCCCCATGTGGGCAGGGCTTGATCGACCATAGTCGAGGTTTCGCACGAAGGCGTCTTCATCAGAGGTATTTCGGGCCCAGTGGCGGACGGAATTCTCCAGACCGTTGCGGGCGTGGAGCACCATGTTGCATGCATGTTTCAGCGGCATTCCGAAGGGAAGTCCAGTCATGAGAGTGTGCTGGGGGGTATCCTTGAGTGAACTCCCCTCTTATTTGCCGCATTCCTGCACTCGGATTGTCAAGCTGTGACTTGGGGCGTTGCCCATGTCTTGCTAGCTAGGAAACGTACGTGCCCATATGCTGGCTATTGAAGAACCCGCGGTCGATCCACATATGTTGGTGTCAAGGTCAAGGCGCACCGCTCCGAGGCTGATGCCGAGAGCTCATTGAAATTACGCCACGTCCGAGGCAAAGCGTGGGCAGACCGCGAGGCCAAGGGGGCAGCCCGTCGGAACACCATGTGCAGCGATGGTCGTAAAGCCTTCTCTAGCGCACGTCAATTGTACAGGCAGGTTGCTGAGAGCGTGCTCCAGATTCTGACCCTGTGGAGATGTTCGGAGAGTTGCAGTCCGGCAGTCTTTGGCCTTCCTTGCCCCTTCGCACCCCTAGTGGCCAGTGTGGCATAGCCCGGGTTGGGTGTGCCAGGTGCGCCATAGACGTGGGGCGAAGCAACTTGCGAATCAGAAGTGCATCATCTGAAAAAAAGTGCTGTTCAGACTCTGGGCCGACCCCAGACTCTGGGGGTTCCTCCCTCCTCCTCTTCTGGACCTCTGGATGGTGGCGGTTCTTGTGCATAAAATTAATGCCATCGTCCGCTTCCTCCTCCTATTTCTACTCCTCGTCCGCCTCGTCATCCTCCTCCTCCCTCCCCTCATCCTCTGCCTCCTCCTCCTCCTCCTCCTCCTCCTCCTCCTCCTGCAGCTCCTCCTGCCTCCCCTCGTCCTCTTCCTCCTCTTCCTCCTTCTGGACCCCGAGAAGCCCCCGAGCGAGCTTCCAGAGAGCCCCGAGACGGCTTCAGGAGTGGCCCAAGATGGCCCCAAGAGAAGCCCAGGAGTTGAGTACCAGCGGGCCCCCAGTTGGTACATAATTACTGGGTCCCTCTTAGGGCCATCTTGGGCCCCTCGTGGAGCCGTCTTGGGGCCCTCGAGGGCCCTCAGAAGCACCCGAGAGTGCCCCCAGAGGGCCCCACGACGGCTCCAGGAGGAGCCCAAGATGGCCTCAAGAGAAGCCCAGGAATTATGTACCAGCGGGCCCTCGGTTGGTACATAATTCGTGGGCTTCTCTTGGGGCCATCTTGGGCCCCTCGTGGAGCCGTCTTGGGGCCCTCTGGGGACCTTCGAG